TTCACAACTTCGCAGGTCACTGCTTAGCCAAACTTGTTGAGTAGCTGCCTCAGGACTTTTCTATTTTCCATTCCAGCTCGGTTTGTTCTGCGAGAGTTCCTGAAGGCGTGAACGCTGCTATTGCTTCTCAATGGACATTGTTCTGCGGAATTCTCTTGGGGGGTGGATGTAACGTCTCAGCGAGGTCCGGGCTCCCAAAAAGAATGCTTTACCATTTCCCTTACCAGCAGCTCAAATGCTCACAAAGTTGAGCTGAGCTGTCACCGCTTGGCCGCCGGTGAGGGGGTAACAGCTCTGTGTCCTTCGGGCCAACGCACCATTGGTGTATGACAGCAGGGGCGATGCGCTAATGCGCGCTGCGGGACACACTGGCCGGTAGGGCCAGGTTACATCAGGGGCGTGACCCCTGACCTCAAGCTGTGCCATGTTTGGGAGGCCTGCGCGCTACTTGCTGGCTTTACACCATTGAAAACTTTTACCATCAACTTTCACTGATTCTTCCTTTTGCTCTCCATCCGTCTCAATCTGCGTCGGAAGCTGATCTCTGGACTTCATCCAAGATCCCTGGCACCCCACGTCACTGGCGAGACTCAAGGTCTGCTCCACCAAGTACTCGAAGGAGGCCGCAAAAACGATGCCTGCGCGGGTCAAGGTGAAAATGCGGATGGACGAAAACCAAGCAGCCGCCCTGAATCTCCACCTCATAGCCGGCGCGATTCAGCGCATCGCGGCAAGGTCGCAGAGCCGCTCCTTCAAGAAAATGGCGATAGGTGTCTTTGCTCATTCTAAATAATCTAGATGTTCACATGGAAACCAGCTGCCTGTCTCATACCGTGACTTCTTCCAAATACCTTCTGTGTGGACGTCGTTCTGCGGAAAAGCAACAGGTTACTAGATATAATATATCTTTTCTCTATACAAAGGCTAGTCGCGAGCTGAGCACAGAGAGCGCGCGAAAACATATGCAATGGCTGCTGCGTGTCATCTCAAGCTACTTTGTCACGTTTCTGTTTGGGACAGTCGATGAGAAAATGACAAGCAGTGGTTGGTTAACTACATCTAGAGTGAAGAAAACGTTACCTCTGACCATATGTCGATGGACAATTCTCCTCTTGATTTCACAACTTCGCAGGCCACTGCTAAGCCAAACTTGTTGAGTAGCTGCCTCAGAAATTTTCTATTTTCCATTCCAGCTCGGTTTGTTCTGCGAGAATTCCTGGAGGCGTGAACGCTGCTTCCATTCCAGCAATTGCTTCTCAAGGAATGGACATGTTTTTGCGGAATTCCCTTGGGGGGTGGATGTAACGTCTCAGCGAGGTCCGGGCTCCCAAAAAGAAGAGGTATATGCTTTACCGTTCCCCTTACCAGCAACTCAATGGCTCACGAAGTTGAGCTGAGCTGTCACCGCTTGGCCGCCGGGTGAGGCTGGTAACAGCTTTGTGTCCTTGGGGCCAACTTAACGCACCATTGAGGCAATGCGCTAATGCGCCCTGCTGGGGACACACTGGCCGGTAGGGCCAGATTACATCAGGGGCGTGACCCCTGACCTCAAGCTGTGCCATGCTACTTGCTGGCTTTACACCATTGAAGACTTTTACATGTAAACAGTGGAATATTTGCCAGGTTACATTAGGGACGTGCTCCCTGACCTCAAGCTGTGCCATGTT